TCAATGCAGTCAGCACAGATGTGTCTTTCAAAAATAATAGTTGATTGACGTGCTGTGATAATAGATTGTGCTATTCACGTTAAAAAATATTTTTCTTCAAAGCACTGGGTTTTATTCATAGAAAAAATACAGATAACCAGAACAATTTTAACTTCTACAGAATGATAGAACAAAAGGATCCCGGAACTAAATAGCTCTTTGCTATGGAGAGAGGCTCTGTCTACATTATAGCATATTTATCTGGCCCAGCTTCAGAAAGTATTTCTGGTCTAGATCTGTAGACTTGGAGCAAGTCAATGAGATCTTCAAATTCAATCTGCTGCCCTGTGCAGGAATCTACATTTCAGACCAAGGGCTATCTAGCTTTTACTTTGATATAACCTAACAAAATTAGCTTTTCCCTCTTGAACTGCACTTATGGAAAAGAACTTTTTTCTTGCGGTAGAGCAGTGATGGCGAACCTTTTAGAGACCGAGTGCCCAAACTGCAACCCAAAACCCACTTATGCATCGTCAAGTGCCGGGTGGGTGTGGCCCATTGGGTGGGCATGGCTGCAGTGGTAATAGACTGGGTGGGACTAAAAAGTTCAATCAATCAATTCCAACTTTGCAAGAACTTTTTTTTTTCCCACGAGAAGTTGAAATTGACTGATTGATTGAACCTTTTTTTGTTGTTGCACACAGCGGCGGAGGCCTAAAGCAGTGATGGCGAACCTTTTAGAGACCGAGTGCCCAAACTGCAACCCAAAAGCCACTTATTTATCACTGGGTGCCAGGTGGGTGTGGCCCACTGGGTGGGCGTGGCTGTGGTGGTCATGGCAGATTGGGTGGGTGTGGCCAAGGTGGGCATGATCACCTCAATGTTGCTCGTGGGGAGGGACACCTGTGAGGGCCAGGCAGGGTTGGGGGAGATCCAGGGGGTCTCTGGCAAGTGGGGTGGTGGGCAGGAGGCTTGTCCTGCAGGGTGAGGTGAGGCAAGGTGAGGCGAGGTAGGGCAGGGGTGCCATTGTCACAGGGCAAGGTGAGGCAGGGGCCGGGACGGCTGCTGCCTGACACCATCGGCCCCTGCACACAGAGGCCAGCGAGCGCATGGGTGCTGGGATGCATCCAGCCATGTGGGACCTCGGCGAGTTAGCGGGCAGCTGGTTAAAGAGGGATGGTTGCCATCTCTGGGGCATGGCGCGTGTGCCCACAGAGAGGGCTCTGAGTGCTGCCTCTGGCACGCGTGCCATAGGTTCGCCACCACTGCATTAGTCTCATGATTTTCACAAAAGAAAACAAGTCTTGGCCATTTTCTTGTGACATCCTTTAAGAAATGTTTGAAGATCTGTCCTTCAGTCATATTTCTCTCAGTGCTAGACATATCCAGCTCTTTCAATCTTCCTTCATATAACAATCATCTTATTATCCTCATCATCTTTCTTTGAACTTGTTCCAGTTGGGCTGAATTGTTTTTAAAATGTGTCCCCAAAATGGACCCGGTACTTGAGGGAGGATGAGACTGAAGCAGACGTGGAAATCACATTTTTGTTGATGTATCTTAACATTGAATTTAACTTATTATTAAGGTAGTTAGACGTATTGTATCCTTTTTGTAACTTTTTTTGAGCCACTATTGTTTGCTCATATTCAGTTTGCAGTCTATGTTTTTGAATAGGTGCAAAGAAGAGCAACAAGGACTGTAAGCTAAAACATATGAAGAATCGTTGCAGGAATTGAGTATGTCCAGTATAGTGGAAAGAAGGACTAAGGGTGACATGATAGCACTGTTCCAATATTTGAGGGGCTCTTACAAAGACAAAGAGGTCAAACTATTTTCCAAAGCACCAGAAAATAAGACAAGAAACAATGGTTGGAAACTAACTAAGGAGAGAAGCAACCTAGAACTAAGGAGAAATTTCCTAACAGTGAGAGCAATCAACCAATGAAGTAGCTTGACTTCCAAAGTTGTGGGTACTCCATCACTGGAAGTTTTCAAAAACAGACTGAAATGGTATAGGGCCAGGGTCTTCAACCTTGGCCACTAAGACTTGTGGACTTCAACTCCCAGAATTCCTCAGCCAGCAAAGCTGGCTGAGGAATTCTGGGAGTTGAAGTCCACAAGTCTTAAAGTGGCCAAGGTTGAAGACCCCTGATATAGGGTCTCCTGCTCAAGCAGGGGGTTGGACTACAGGACTTCCAAGGTCCCTTCCAACAGTGTTATTCTATGTTTTATATTCTTTGCTTTTAATAAGCACATCACTAAGCAATCCATACGTTATCTTTTATTCAAGATGAGATCTCCTTAAATATGCTACATTTAATATCAGTAATGTCCTATATTAATTTCCAGGCTCACTTTCCCACATGATTTCTCTTTTTAAAAGGTTTAAAAATCCAAATGTGTTGAATATTTAGTTGAAACAAATAACAATTTACTTCAGCTATTTCCTTGATATAATCTGTGTACTAGGATACTCTTGAGTTGGATCTCATGCACTAAATTGTGAATTTGGTTGTAGTGTTCCTCATACTTGTACGGTATTTCATTTTCGAATGGCTGTATTGCTGTTCGTGTTGGCTCTTCCACAAAGAATGGCTATGAAACCTTTTCTTCTTTCTGGCATTACCTAAGCTTTATTTATATAAGAATTCCACTGTTGTGGCATTTTAATGCCATAAAATATGACTTTTAGGAAAAGCATGTACAGATAGCCCTCAACTTACAACCATTCATTTACTGATCATTCAAAATTACAACAGCACCGGGGGAAAAAAAAGACTTAGGATCATTTTTCATGCTTAAGACCATTGCACCCTCCCCATGATCAAGTGATCAAAATTCTTGACATATATTTATGACAGTTGCACCATCTCAGATCATGTGGTCACTATTTGTAATCTTCTCAGCCATCTTCTAACAAGCAATGGGGAAATCCAATTCGCTTAATGAACACATGATTTGCTTAACAACTCTGGCAAAACAAAGATGATAAAAATGGGGCCAAACTCACTTAACAACTGTCTTGTTTAGCAATGGAAATTTTGGGCTCAGTTATGATCATAAGTCATTATGGTCATATACCTGTATATTCAAAATGACGACAAAACCCTATGAGTAGCAGCATGTGCTATAAAAAAGAATCAAAATCAAATGTATTTTCCTGTTCCAAATCGTTTTAACATGTTAGATGGAAATCTGGTACAAATCCAGTTATCATACTGACTCTAGTCCTCTGCTAGTGCCTGTCAAGTACAAGTATTTACATGAAGTCCTCTTAAATTAAAATTGTGGGATATTCTTTAAAGACTCTCTTTCCTTCTAAGACAGTGGTTCTCAACCTTTTTAATGCCGCGACCCCCAACTGGTCGTAAGTCAAAGACTAAACCGGTCGTAAGTCGAGGACTAAACTGGTCGTAAGTCGAGGACTACCCAACCGGTCGTAAGTCGAGGACTTTCCTTGCTCGGGAGCGCCGCGCATGCGTGGTTCCGCCCCCTGCGCCGGCCGAGGCGTAGCTGGCAAGCGGCAGAGATGGAGCAGGCCGACCACCAGCTGGCCCAGCTCAAGGGAGGTAAGGCACCCACCGGAAAAGGGGGAAAAAATGGCAGACAGCCTTGCTTGGCGACCCCCGTGAAATGGTTGATCGACCCCAAATGGGGTCGCGATCCATAGGTTGAGAACCGCTGTTCTAAGAAGTGCTATTCTATCTTTTCATTTAATGTTTTCTCCTCTCTAGGTAGGCATGTTTCTAATCATTTAAATCAAAGCACTGCAAGAATTGTGTACCAAGGTAACAGCGAAACAAATCTTTTCAGCAATAAGATTTGGAAAGGAGTCTTGTCTGGAAACTGCCCAGTGCACTTGCAAGTACAGAAAAACTGAACTCAGTTTCTACTTGTGATGTATAAATCAAAGACTATTGTAGATTTTCATGCATACCGTGCTGTTTTATGTATATTATGCACATTATTATACTGTTATCTGGTTTGTCATTTAAGTTTCTGTTTGGAGGCTGGGGATTTCTTGTGGCTGAAGGCTACATCAAATAGGACTATTGACTGACATGGGCTGCAATTCTCTCATGTTTGGGAAGTTAAAACTGATTATTTTAAAGTTTCTAATACATTTTTATATATTTTTACAAACTACGCTACAAATTCCTAGCAATCACAGCTGCAAATGGCTCCAGGGCCTCAAAAATAAGCCATCTGTTACCCACAATTATTTCAGATACACATTTTCTCATACACCAGCTCCAAAAATATAATACTAAGAGATGCAGTTGAAGAAGGAAAATTTGGGGTAGAAATGCAGCTGGCATAAACTCTTATTCTTTGATGACAATAAATATTTTCTTAACAGGAACAACAGTGGGGTTTCATTACATACACATATACTAGGACTTTATTTCAAATCTTGGAATAGTAACTCTGTCTGAGCTTGTATCGATTCCTGTCACTCACTCTTATTCAGAAAGTAGGAAGAGTTATTTTTCAGCTTTAAAAACTATAAAGAAGTGTGGGCAACAATTTTATGGGTAAAATAAGACACCATTAATACAGAAGAGCTCTGTGATTCAGAGAAATAAGCTTCCATAATATTAAGGAACAGCACATCAGTTGTTGCTCAAGAGGATGCCTTGCGTTGATGCGTAATATTTAAGCATTTCATCAAAAGATTTATTTGGTTAAATTATACATTCATTCATAAAATTTTCAGTGATTCGGGATCTCCAACTAGATGCCATACACTAGGTCAGGGGTAGGCAACCTCCGCTCTTTTATGACTCGTGGACTTCAACTCCCAGAATTCCTGAGCCAGCCATGCTGAGGGAAAGGGAGAGGTTTCCAAGCTGAGCCATGCTGACTCAGGAATTCTGGGAGTTGAAGTCCATGAGTCATAAAAGAGCCGAGGTTGCCTACCCCTGCACTAGGTAAATAAAGTCCAACTAGAGGCTTCTTTGGTATTAATGATGCTTTCATGATATTTTTTAATGTTATCTAAACAGCTTCCCTCTTACCTATAGTATGTCCAGATGCAGTTACCCCTGTTCCACTCCCATCCGGTGTTGGGTGGAAAGGCTGTTGTACTTTGGTTCTGATGATCCTGTCACCATAACACAACAACAACACAGCAGATTAGTCTGAGATATAGGCACTGCAAATAAAATATTTGATGTTATGAGTGGGTGGATTCATGCACAGTGGCCTATATATGCTGATAAAATAACAATGATAACAATAATAACACAATCATTTATTACAAGACCAAGAAATTGCAGAGTATGAAAAGACCCTCTGGTCATCTGAAACATTTTATCATTGTTTTTAATTATAAATAAATTATCATTTATAAATAAATTAAATCATTTTAATTTTTAACAGCTGATTAACACTGGGCATCCATATTCATTGCTGGTTCAGCTAGGAGAGAACTATGGAACTGTGGAGCTCCTCTGCACAAATTATTTCCAAAACAAATTATAAAGCGAATTGCCAAAAGGGCCAATCTGACATCGTCTAAAAAGAAAGAAGATTCATAGATACCCAGATACAGTTTTTAAGCAATTGGGTTGTATGCACTTAGTAAAGGATGCATAGCGTGTCAGAGTCCTGCATGAGTTTATCAAGAACAATTCATGCCAAAGCAGCCTAATCGTCTTTGATAGAATGATCAGCTTATGTGATCTCAGTGGATATTGTATACTTTAGTTTCGGCAAAGCATTTGACAAAGTCTTTGTCAAGGCTGAGGTGAGTTATAGATTGTGTAAAACAAGTATATAAATAAATGAGAGTCTACAAGAGAAGATAGTAAAATGTAGATTGAATATAGATCTGGATGAGCAAGTACTCAAGGTATGTACAGTATGTTAATGCTCAGCATCAGATTAGAAGGTATCAAGTAGTATACTGCTGGGCTGTACTATTCAATATATTTACAAAGGTAGTAGACTCCCCTCTGCCAGATGTAAGAGTTGGGTGGTCATTTGCCATACACGCTTTAATAGAGTTTCTTGTACTGGGTAAGAGATTGTACTAACTGATCTCCTTCAATTCTTACATTGTATGATAAATGAGGAAAAGTATATAAAAATATTAATACATGTTGTGAAGATTTTAGAAACCACATCGGAGACGCTCATGAGAAAAAAAACGATTTAAGATTGGAAACACGAGACGCTACCAACTGAACACTAACTGCTAGGCGAATGCATCTGCACCCACAGATGCTATAACTAAATTTACCTAGCAACATCATTATTGCTGATAAATTCCCCAAACTAGAAAATGATTAAGAATTTGCTACTCAAACCCTAACCTTAATTGCTGGTTTTGTTCAATCTGACAAGAGCAGCACCTGGCCGCTTGACCTAACTTGAAAATGTATTTGCGAGGTATGAAAAAGCTTTCTGCTCATTTTGTATGATCTGAAAAACTCTTTTTCCATTTGAAAATGCAACCGAAAATATTATTTGGAGGACTATTTAGAAATCTAAACTTCATGTACTGTCTTAAGCTCAGCCTCCCATTTTTCCTTAATCTTAAGCAAACTGGTTTAAGAATTTAATGATAGGAGTCAGTGTGACATAATCGTTAAAGTAGTATACTAGGGCCAAGGGGATCCAGGTTTTAGTCTTTCCTTAAGCATGGAAGCCAACTGAAATGACTTTAGGCCAGTCCCTCAGCCTCTTTGATGATAAGCTAAAAATTCTCTATTTATTAACCCACCTTGGTCCTCCATAATAGATGAACCTTCAACAAAGGGCTTTCATCCTGCAGTGGAATGTATAATGTCATTACATAATATGTCAATATATCTAGGAATGCTTTTGTTTGACACATGAGCTGCATGTTTTTCTAAGTCTCCTTCCTTCCTTCCTTCCTTCCTTCCTTCCTTCCTTCCTTCCTTCCTTCCTTCCTTCCTTCCTTCCTTCCTTCCATTCAGTAATTTAAGAAGTTAAAGGAAACAACCAGTTATCTCATATAGTTTCAAAAGTAACATGAGCCTGAACATCAGACACAAGCAGGATATTGCTGCTTAAAAGGTAAACACTATTTTGGGATGAATAACAAGAGCATGGGATTCAGATGGACGAGAAGGAATGGTTTCATTCTACTTAGTTTTAGTCAGCTGCCACTTGTCCAGTTCTGATCAGCTCAGTCTACAAAGAATAGCCACAACCTGGTGCAAGTTAAGAGGTGGGCTACAAAAATAGTGAGGGACTGTTGAAATTAGTCGGTGCACTTAGCCTGTAAAAACAAGAGAAAGGGGAGATGGGAAAGCAGTTTTCTAAAGATATCGGAAGGGATGTCAAATGAAAGAGGAGGTGGTATTGTTCTCTCTTGCTTCAGTTGGCAGGACCAAAAATTCCAGGAAAGTAACTTCAGGTTACAAACTAGGAGGACTTCTCTGAAAGTAAAAGTGCCAGTTTATTTATTGATAAATTTATTTAATTTCTATAGCCATCCATCTCAACAAGTGACTCTGATATAATGAAACAGGTATTTTGTGAAATAGTATATTCACCTTAACTGCAAACCTTACAACCCTAGCCATCTGTCTAAAATATTTTGCAGTCCTACATGGAGCAGATGGGTGGACCTCTGAGTTGTCTTCCAATTCTTTGACTCTACAATATGTAGAACCCCTGTTTGCCCCTGAGCTCAATCAGATCAGAAATCTGTTCCTAAAAGGAGATCCTTATTTGGATCCTTATCTGTCATTTCAGAATTTGTGTATGAATGTGTGCACCGATGAAAAAAAGATGGAGGCTCTAGCTGCAATGTCTCCATGCTTATTGCCTCATGCTTGAAAAATATTATTTCAATGACAATTGAATGTGTGGACATAGTCTCTCCCTGTCCCTTCATGCTTAGTAACAGTTTCCCCATTAAATCCTCTCACACTGTTTGATTTTCTCCAAATGGATACTCATGCTCTGATAGATTTTAATTGTAATTGTCTTTTTCTTTTTAATGGATATAAATTATTCTTTTTAAATCTCTTATTGTATAGGGTTTTGTAAGCCACTGGGTCTTTGTTGATTAAAATGACATAGAAGCCTTAGTAAATAAATACAGTAAGTATATTTGAAAACTCATATTTGGCACACTCATCTGAGCGTCAATTTCTTTTTTCTCTCAATCTGCAAAGATGTCCATCACCAAAACAAAGAAAATCGTAATGTCTAGTATGTCTAGTTTAATGAAGAGAAGGACGAGGGGGGACATGATAGCAGTGTTCCAATATTTCAGGGGCTGCCCCAAAGAAGAGGGAGTCAAGCTATTCTCCAAAGCAAATGAAGGCAGGACAAGAAGCAACGGATGGAAACTAATCAAGGAGAGAAGCAACCTAGAACTAAGGAGAAACTTCCTGACCGTTAGAACAATTAACCAATGGAACAACCTGCCTCCAGAAGTGGTGAATGCTCCAAAACTGGAAGTTTTTAAGAAGAGACTGGACAGCCATTTGTCCGAAATGGTATAGGGTTTCCTGCCTGAGCAGGGGGTTGGACTAGATGATCTCCAAGGTCCCTTCCAACATTATTATTATTATTATTATTATTATTATTATTATTATTATTATTATTATTATTATTATTATTATTATTATTATTATTGTTGTTGTTGTTGTCTTCATCATCATCATCATCATCACTATTACAATTTATATCCCTATGCCCTTCCACCATGTTAACCTTTTCCCGTGATCTACAACTTGCATTACAGCTCACTGCCGTGTAACACTTGTGGGTTAGGCAGAGGCATCGGGCCTTGTCTTTCTCTGTTTCCATTCTTTGCAGAAAGAGAAATACATACTGTATGGAAAACCAAAAGTTCCAAAATTCGTAAGTGCCTGGAAAATTGGTGAAAGGGAAAATGTTCTTCGAGGTAGCGTCCCTGGTTGTGTGCCCTGCAGATGGGTAGACTTCAACTCCTCCCTTACTCAGCAGATTTGTATACTGTTTTTCTCTCCAAAATAATATTCAGGTCAGTTAGGAATTCTTTTATCAGATTTTTTACTGTTTCATTTGGATTTAAAATAAATTGTTGCCCTTTAGCCAGTTTGCATTGGTTTTAAACAACCTTCTTGAACTTGAATTCTTGAGCATTTTAATCATTAGCAGGAATATTTTGTGTGGACCTCAAGATTACTCATTGAAGAAGAAGTGCACCAAATTCTTAAGATCTGGCCTAGCTATCTGACAGATCTCCTATGCAGCCTGCTCAGTGATAGAGTTACCAAAAATGGTAGACTTATTCTCTAATAGTATCAGTCTTTCTTATTAAGTGTGTGGCCAGATATAACAATTTCATTTCCAAGAAAAACAATGTATTTCTAAGAGCAGTGTCCAGCATAAAGTGTTGCTAATGCAAAAATTGTATCATGTGAACCGACTACAAAGGCTGACTAAAAATGTAAAAGCGAAGTCCTCTCAAACTTTGGCCCTGAATATTTACTTCTCTGACTATCAAGTACAACAGACATTCCCGTACACAATTCTGTATTCTACAGCAGAATTTCTGGCTGGGGACTTCTGCGAGTTGGTCCATATAGCTTAAAGTTGCTGAGCTTAAAATACTCTAAAGGATGCTTGACGACATTTCCCAGATGAAGAAACAAGCACTTTACACAAAGAAGTTTCCAGATTTCACCCTAGAGAGTTGCAACCAGCTGGGCAGACAATGCTGAGGGAGACTGATTATTTCACTTAATAGAATGCTGTGTTCTACATCATGGAATGTCTTCCCTGGCAAATCAAATGATTTTTTTTTAAAAAATGTGACATTCCTAAAAATGTTGCATCTATGGTATTTCAAGACTGGCATATTATTATTATTATTATAATCAGCACACTGGGTGCCAGACAAAAAGCCTTGGATGAGACACTTAGAACATCTGTGTATTGACAACATTTCTATATTTCAATTACAAAAAGGCCACGCTGCTTGGATTCACACATATACTACTCCAATACATTACAACATCTTAAGTTCTTGGAAAAACTTGATTCATATGATGGCCAACCATCATATGATTTCATGTTGTTGTGTGCATCTTCATCGTCATGATATATATTCAACATATTCTACATGGATATATA